ACCTAGCCGAACACATTGTGCACGCGAATGTCCCTCTGCTCATTGGAGGACGGAGGGTGGTCAAGCAGCTATTCGCCTGGACTTGCGGCGGGACCAACACTGTGGAGGTCACGCTGAAGAGCAAGCCGATGGTGATATCCTGGGAAGTAGAACAAGTACCGACATTGATGAGCATCGCTGTCCGCGAGAGTGCGGAGGCGGAGGCGGTCTTCAAAGATCTGTTTAAGCTGCGCGCGCAATCACAGAAAGCACGCGACAAGAAAGCAGATGGAGGGCGAAAGCGGTGCGAACCTATTCCGCCATGCCGAGTTTTGGATGCAGAGATCTCGACGATCGTGAAGCTGAAAGTAAACAGGCATTGTACGCAATATGTTTTAGTTTGGGACGGACCCGTATTCAACGAGGAGGTCATTGGGCAACGTGTCATCAGTGGCCTCTCCAAAAAGGCCCTATCAATTGCAGCCCATCTCGGGGCGCTACCTGGTATAGATGGTGTATGTTTTCAGCGTGCGAGGGCAGGGGATCAGAGTGTTCTTGGCGAAGAAAAAGAGACCGAGGATTTCATCCCTTTCACGGCTGGCACGACGATGATGGGGGCTCTCGAGAGGACCGCATATCTGGAGGGCACCCAAGGCATCGCCTACAAGAGCAACGGCACAAAGCTTTTCTTCAGATTCAGCCAGAGTCATGCGAAGGAAGCCTGGACGGGACTGCAGAACAGGGCCCCCCTGATGCCAAATATTCGGGGAATTGATCCCTTGCCCAAGAATCTCGAAGGTGCAGGCCTTTGTGATGCTCTGCGGAAGCAAACGGGGTGGGAAGCTGAGTCTGTCAGATTAAAGAAGGTCGGCAAAGGAGCGAAGGGGCGAAGCCTACGCTACTGGTCAGAGCTAAAGAAGCACCAAGTGTGGCGGACATATGTCTTGGTGGCATCCAGGCGACGATCAACAAGCAGGTGACTCTGACCCCGAAGGCTACGCCGGCGGCGCCAACATGGGCAGGCATGTTTACCGAGTGCACCCCGACAACATAGGTGACGCCACAGATGCAGACGAGAGCGCCGATTGCAGCCAAGTTTTCGTTTCCTCCAGCGAAGGCGCCGCCGTCGCAGCAACTTGGAAGAGAGTTCGTGCCAGTGGGTCCACCGCCAGGTGCGGGGGGTGCTATCAGCCCTGATTTCCAGCAGCTTCTCACCGACATTGCCGCGCAGGCAGTGGGGGCTCGCGCTTCGTCATTGACGGCGCAGATGGCAGCGCGGAGCATTGGGCTTGCCTTGAGTCGATCAGCCTTGAGCAACACCACGTCGAGTTCAGAATCGGACGAGGCCCCTATTCAACGGGCCGCCAAGCGCTTGCGCGAGTGCGAGTTGACGGACGTGAAAATTGGTTTTGAGCTCTGATGGCTGGGCTTGCATCCTCTCTACGTGTGGACGTCGCGACTCGGGCCCGCTTCGAGGGCGGGCTGGGCAACGTTACCTTTAACTTTCTCCTTCCCCAGGAGACGCGTAGTGATGCCGAAGGGCGGCCTGCAGCGGCCGAGGCCGCGCGACAATGTGGATTTTATGCTTTGTTTTCTGGCTCCCTGCGCGGCCGCAGAAGGGGCCCAATGGGAAGTCGGGCAGACTTGCCCAAGGCGGAGTGGCTACTCTTTTCCGAGGGGGCCGTGCTCATTGGTAGCTGGGCGTGCGCGGGGTTCTGCCGGGGACCTGCGCGCTGCCGCGAAATGGATGCGTGCAGCTCTTCCTCTGGCGGCAAGCCACTCCATGTTGTCAATCTTTGCAATGGTGCTGGATGTGCAGTGCTATGTCGCACGCGCAACTCGCAATGTGGACTTGGTCTTCGAGGATTGCGCAGGCACTTGGCGATCAAGATTGCACGGGCGCTAACACTTCCATGGGGGGGCCATTTCTGGAGCGCGATTTTCCACGCTGGCCGGTGGCGCGAAATGGGGCCGGCAGTAGTGCGGAGCCAACCATCAGCAAAGGCCCGAAGTGGAATCGTGCCTTCCCTTGGCCCCAGGCTTCTCGCCCCGACTTGATCATCGCCATTGCCATTGCTAAAGGTATGATTGCATCGTTTTGAGCTGAGAAGAGATCTCGGGTTACACAACATCTGGGGTTCCAGTTCAAGGTCAAGATGGACGTCCTACAGCAGATGCGACAGCGGCTTCGGGCGCCGCGACCATGCCCGACAGCAGCTGCGCCCAATATCGCGGAGGATGAGGAGTTAAAGACAGGGCGAGCAGTTATTAATGCGCGTGGTGATGCCTTCCAGTATGCCATCGAGCTGTCCGATGCTGACATGGTGTGGGAAGCAGTGGGCAAACTTGCGGGGGCTGTCTTGGATGCGAGATTCGGGATGGCTGGCCATTTTGATTACAGGTATTACGGGAGGACGGCGCCGCCGAAGTTGATCGAGGGGATTGTCGCGCCCGATGTGCTGGAGAAGGCGCCGTGATGTCCGACCGCTGCGGGCTTCCGCAAACAAGAAATTCTTCATGGCCTCTTGCAGACTTGCGCTTCCTCAGCGCTGGAGGGTCGCTAGCACAAGAGCTTGGCGCATGGGGGGGGGGGGGGGGGGCGCGCGCGCGCCTTTCGCTTGCCTGGGTGAAGCAGCGACAGCATGCCATGCTTCGCGCAGTCGAGGCAGCGGACGGGGGCGTCCTCGCATCCAGGGCCGACGTTCTCGACAGAGCGCAGCAGGTATGGGGGCATATATATATATATATATATATATATATATATATATATAACGAGCCAAAGTTGTATGACTGGAGTGCTTCCCTAGCGATGTGCGGGAGGTACATCGAGCGAGTTGAATGCGAATTACCTCTCCTGGAGGCGGAGTCCCTGCGCAGCCGGCGCAGGAATGCGCCCGCGCAGCGTGCGCCTGTCCTTGACGGATGGAGAGTGGCAGAACTGCGACATCTACCTGACAGCATCCTGGACATGATCGCCATGCTGCTGGATGGGGTGGAAGACGAGTGAATTGGATGGCCGAAAGTCCTCGCGATGGGCGTCGCATCGCGCTTGCCTGGGTGGGATGTGGAGGCGGACCATGCTGCGGACATCGACCCAGACCAGCTCTGGGCAGCGGAGGCCGACCGAACAAGGCCCATCACCAACCTCTCACCCTTCCCGATGGCGTTCATGTGGTTTGGAATTCATGCAAAGGTTCACACCGGGAATGGTGCTGCGTCAGATTCGCTGAGGTCGGGTGCCCCCAGGCCTGCTCCTACTGCCACCGAAGGTTCCAGTGGGTCTCTCGCTGCACTGCCCACCTTACGGTACCTGGACCTCGGGCTCGGCAGGTGTAGCTTCGTGCGCTCGTTGGCCGGCGATCTCCTGCATGGCTTTAACTTTCGACAAGTGTTACAGGTTTTACTGCCGTTTGCAGTCTTGTTTTGGAATTCATGCAAGGGTTCGCGCAGGGAATGGTGCTGCGTCGCATTCTCTGAGGTCAGGTGCCCCCTGGTCTGGAATTCATGCAAGGACTCACACAGGGAATGGTGCAGCGTCGCAGTCGCTGAGTTCAGGTGCCCCGTGGTCTGCTCCTGGCTGGTGTCGGCCCCCAGCCAGGGAAGTTCCAGTGGGTCTTTCGCTACATTGCCTACCTTGCGGTACCTGGTCTTCGGGTTCGGCAATTGTGGCTCTGTACGCTCGTTGGCTGACGTTCTCCTGCATGGACTTCGCTGTCGACATATGTTACAGGCTTTGCTGCCATCTGCAGTCCTTTCGGTGATGGGGTTGCCCCTCTTCATTCCGGCGCCGACACGGTGTTTCGGCATTTGTGTCGCCTACTTCACGGATGTCGTTTGGGTGTGCCTGTCGGTCCAGTTCGTCTTCGACGGCGTTTGCCTGACTCACACCGAGCGTTCGACCTCTGCGTGTTTATGGTCGCGCCGCCGCGCCATTTTGGCTGCGTTTACTTGCTGGTCGCCACCGGGATTTCCACGCCACAGGGGGTTTGGGAGTATCGGTTCTGCCTCTTCTCCTGAGTGGCTGCCCGGTCGCTCGCTTCGCTTGCCTTTTTCTTCCTGCTGCCTAGTCACGGCCCGACTAGTGTTTGGACGGCTTTCGACACGCCTCGCGAGCCTGTTGATCAAAAGTATTCCCACCTGCCCATCTAAAAATACTCAGCAGGCGAGCTGTCCTGATCAGGGATATGTGGCAGCATGCAGTTACGTTCAGGGAGTCTCTCGGAGGCATTTCGGAGCCATCGTGGGGCCCTGTTGGGGTCCTTTGGGGGTCATTTTGGAGGCCCTGTTGGGCCTTCTTGGGGGCATTGAGGGGACTCTCGGGGCCATTCTGGGGGCCATCGTTGAAATAATGGGGGGGTAACCAATTGCATTCTCCCCCTCGGATGCCGAATAATTGCCTCTTGGGGCCTTCTCGGGGCGCACCTGGGCGCTCATGGGAGCTCTTGAGGCAGTCTTGGGCCACTCTCAGGCCCATCTTGGGGCTCTCTTTGGCCATCTTGGAGCCAGCTTGGGGCCTCAAGAGCCCACCGCAAGCGAAAAGGCGAGAAGCCACAAAACATAGCTTTTCCTTGGGTTTGATTTATTTATGCCTATCTGGGGGGAGCTTGGGAGGCTCCGGGGGGGCAACTGGGACCATCTTGGGGCAGTCTTGGGGCTTCTTGGAGGCATGTTGGAGGCTATCTTGAGCTATCTTGTGCTATCTTGTGCGATCTTGAAGGCCCTATTGGGCTCCTTCGGGCCCCCTCGCGGCTATCTTGGGCCATCTTGGGCGCTCAAGCGACCCGCGACTGGGCCCGTTCAGACCAGGGGGAGGGGCATTGGAGAGGTAAACTTTTTCCCGATTGGAAAGAGGAGGTTGGAGGAACTAACTTCCTAAGCAACCTACGCCCAAAAGGCTGGCGGGACTAACCCTCGGCAGTTTCTGTGAAGGTAGGGCCGAAGCGAAGCCACTGCGTTAAGCCGCCCGCCATGAGGCAACACGACACCACCTGAGTGCGCAGAACACACACTGACCTTTCTCTCCTTGCCGTCCTTCGCACGTGTGGCCGCGCGCTGGACGCCAGTTGCCCGCATCAAGCCCTCCCCTCCTTCCTCCGTAGCCGTTTTGGCTCGTTTTGGTTGGGGCTGCAGTGCGTCCGGTGGTGCTCATGTGATTCAGACGCCAATCGGGGGGGCGCTGAGATCCGACGTTGCAACAACACATGCAACATCGCAAAAAAACACGACTGGAGCCCCGGACTTCATCTTTCTGCTCCATTTTTTCGAGCCAGATCGATCTGTGAGGGTCCCGGGGCGCGATACCAGGCGGAAGCGCCTGGCGTGAGCAAATATTGCAGCGCAAGATCTCAGGGGGCGCAGGCGATACCGCGCAGTCCACCCGCGGGAGGGCCGCACGTGGCCATGGCTGCCCATGCCGACGGGCAGGCCACCCCCGAGGAGTACTTCTTTGGCCCTGGCCCCGACGGCATGCCGCGCGCGGTGACGGCGCCCGCGGCGCCCACCGCCAGCGAGCTGCACCAGGCGCTGGGCAGGCTGAGCTTCTCGGCGGCAGAGGAGCGCCCGAGAGCCAGCCTCGTGGCCACCAGCGCTGGCAGGCCCCGCCACCCCGCCAGCAGTGTCGGCCGCGGCCGCCCGAGGCGCCCGGACGCGCCACCCGCGGGGCGCGGTCCCCTGCCCCGCGCACCGTCGCGGCCGGAGGGGTGGACCTGGCCGGAGCAGAAGCCCGCGGAGGCGGGCGGGCAGCCAGCGCCGCACGCCCCCGCGGGCAGCACCCCCGCCTCGGCGGGCTCGGCGCCGGGGCGCGGCAGGGGCAGCGGCCTGCCAGTGCCTGGCAGCGCAGCGCTGGCCCCTCGGGCCCAGGGGCCGCAGGAGGGGGCCTCGGCCAGTGGCGCGGTTGGCTCTGGGCAGTGCCGCGGGGATTGCCTTGACCAGCGGGGCTGGCCTGCGCTGAGTGGCGCAGCGCCAGGCCGGGCGCGCCGACGGCCGCGGGGTCGGCCGGGCGCGAGTGCGGAGGGGCTCCTGGAGGTGCCGCGCTCACCTGGCCAGCTGGCGCTGGGCGGCGCGGCGCCAGGCCCGGCGCACGGCCCGGCGCAGGGTTGGCCGGGCACGAGCAGCCCAGAGGAACTCCTGCAGGCGTCGCGCTCGCCTGGCTGGCCTGAAGGCCGGGCGGGCGACGGTGCCGGGCGCGCCCAGAGTCCTGGGTGGGAGGCGGGCAGTGACGGCGGCGGCGGCGGCTTGCTGCCCAGCGGCGCGCTGCAGTCCCTGTCGCGCACGTTGCTGGAGGACGAGGACGCCGAGGATGGGTCGCCAGCCTCGCCGAGCCAGGGCGCGGCGCCCTCGGCAAGAGGGAGGGTGTCAGGTCCAGAAGCGGAGGAGCACCAGGCTGCAGGCAGCAGCACGGCGTCCCCACCTGGCGACACCGCGGTGCTCTCATTAATCCGTGGGCTCCAGGAGGCGGCAGAGATTGATGCCGCGTTGCATATTCCAACGCGGCCAGGCTCCGAGGATCATCCAGGCCATGTAGGTTTTCAGCACGGCGTGCTCACAAGTGAATTGCAAAGGAGATAATTCAGCTGAGATTCATGCCGCGTCTCGCGACTTGTTCCAGTATTCATTGGCTCATTTGTAATTGCCTAGCGTTGCAGAGCCCATTGCTCCCCCCGTCGAGGTTCGACGGCAGCGCGATTTGTAAATCAACCATCTCAGGTTGACGCAGTTTTACTGATTTGTAAAAGTGATTGTGTCACGCAGTGGCACCCAGAGCATGGGCATATGTAGTTTGTTATAAAGTTCTGACGCTCTGACGCGTCACGGAGCGTCAGGAACGTCAGATCCTCTTCCTCCCCCCTCCCTCTCCCTCTCCTTGCCGCCTCTCCCAGAGACATCTACGACGATCACGACGACGACGGGGTCCGACGACAATGGCCACGGCGACGTTGATGACGACGAGGGCGGTGACAGGCGCGAGGGCGAGGATGAGGAGGATGAGGATGATGAGGAGGATGAGGAGGACGAGGAGGACGAGGGCGACGACGAGGGCGAGGGAGAGGACGAGGAGAGCGAGGAGGGCTAAAAGGACGACGACGACAAGGGCCACGATGACAACGACGACGAGCTCGACAACAAGCTCGACGACGATGACGACGACGACGAGGGCGAGGGAGGGGACGAGGAGGACGAGGAGGGCTGTGAGGACGAGGGCGAGGACGAGGAGGACGAGGAGGGCGAGGACGACGATGGCGACGACGATGGCGAGGGACGAGAAGGGCGAGGAGGTCGCGGACGACGACGAAGGCGAGGGAGAGAACGAGAGCGAGGACGATGACGACGACGACGAGGGCAACGATGATAACGACGACGAGCCCGACGACGAGGAGGACGAGGGAGGGAATGAGGAGGACGAGGAGGGCTGTGAGGACGAGGACGAGGACGAGGACGACGGCGACGACGAGCGGCACGACGAGGGCAACGACGAGGACGAACAGGGCGAGGTCGAGGACGAGGTGGAGGAGGAGGGTGAGGAGGTCGAGGGCGAGGTCGAGGGCGAGGAGGACGAGCGCGACGATGACGACGACGACGAGAACGACGACGACGATGACGACGTCTTCGGCGACGACGAGCTCGATGACGAGCTCGACGACGAGGTCGACGACGAGCTCGACGACGACGTCGACGACGACGAGCTCGACGACGACGGCGACGACTGCGCCGAGGGCGACGACGACGACGAGGTTCAGAACGAGGACGAGAGCGACGACGAGCTGCATGACGAGAGCGACGACGAGGACGAACAAGGTGTGGTCGAGAACGAGGGCGAGGTCGAGGGCGAGGAGGGCAAGGGCAAGGTCGAGGGCGACGGGCGACGGCAAGGACGACGATGACGACGACGGCGACGACGACGACGACGGCGAGAACGACGAAGACGACGCCGACGACGATGACGATGACGATGATGACGACGAGGTCGAGGGCGAGGTCGAGGGCGAGGAGGACGAGCGCGACGATGACGACGACGACGACGAGAACGACGACGACGATGACGACGTCTTCGGCGACGACGAGCTCGATGACGAGCTCGACGACGAGGTCGACGACGAGCTCGACGACGACGTCGACGACGACGAGCTCGACGACGACGGCGACGACTGCGCCGAGGGCGACGACGACGACGAGGTTCAGAACGAGGACGAGAGCGACGACGAGCTGCATGACGAGAGCGACGACGAGGACGAACAAGGTGTGGTCGAGAACGAGGGCGAGGTCGAGGGCGAGGAGGGCAAGGGCAAGGTCGAGGGCGACGGGCGACGGCAAGGACGACGATGACGACGACGGCGACGACGACGACGACGGCGAGAACGACGAAGACGACGCCGACGACGATGACGATGACGACGATGACGACGAGGTCGAGGGCGAGGTCGAGGGAGAGGGCGAGACGGTCGAGGTCGAGGTCGAGGGCGAGGAGGACGAGGGCGAGGTCGAGGACGACGATGACGACGACGACGAGATTGACGGCGACGACGAGAACGACGACGACGACGATGACCACGACGACGAGCTCGACGACGACAACGACGAGCTCGCCGACGAGCTCGACGTCAGCGACGACGGCGACGACGATGACGAGGATCAGGACGAGGACGCGGGCGACGACGAGCGGCACGACGAGGGCGGTGACGAGGACGAATAGGGCGAGGTCGATGATGAGGTCGAGTGAGAGTGCGAGAAGGTCGTGGTCGAGGGCGAGGAAGACGAGGGCGACGGCGATGACGAGGAAGACGACGACGAGAATGACGACGACGAGAACGACGACGATGACGACGTCGAAGACGACGACTACGACGACGACGACGCTGACGACGACGACGAGGTCGACGACGAGTTCGGCGATGAGCTCGATGACGACGACGGCGACGACCTCGACGATGACGAGGATCAGGACGAGGCCGAGGGCGACGGCGAGCGGCACGACGAGGGCGAGGTCGAGGACGAACAGGGCGAGGTCGAGGACGAGGGCGAGGGAGAGGGTACGACGGCTGAGGGCGCGGTCGAGAGCGAGGAGGACCAGGGCGAGGCAGGCGAGGGCGACGGCGAGGGCGACGGCGAGGGCGACGGCGGCGAGCCCCTGCCGCTCGTAGCCCCGGGCCGCAGGCCCTCGGCGGGCTCCTGGGCGGGCCGCGGCGCTGCTGGCGCCGCTGGCGCCGGCGAGCGGCGGCGCGCAGGAGGCGGCTCCTTCTCGCGGGGAGGGGAAGCGGGCCCCGAGGTGTTTCGCCTCTCAGTGCTCGCCCCCTCTTCCCCCCCCCCCTCCCGCGGCCGCCCTGCCTTCCTTTGCCCCTCCTGCATGCAGGCCACCTCGCTTGGTAGTGCCCCTGCATCGCGGCCACGCTGCAGCGGATGGTCCCGCCGCGCCGCCGACGGGCAAGTTTCGCCGTGGTCGGGCACTCGGGGCCCTCCACGGGCCCCGGGACGTGTCAGGAGACGACTCAGGATGAAGAGCCCGTGTTGGGAGAAGGCCCCCCAGGGTCCAGGACCCATTTCCTTCAGGATCCATTTCCTTCATGCTAATCCTCGCTCGTTCTGTTCCGTCTCCTTCTCCTCATCCTCCTGCTCTGTACGGCACGACGGTGCGTGCTTTGGACGACTGGGCTGTTGCTCAGGTCCACGGTTTCTCGTTCCCAGGCGAGGCTGCTGCTTGTGGTCAATGCCAGCAGGTTTCTGAGAACGTCATTCTTCTCCCTGGCAAGGCCAACGAGGGTTGGGCTGTTTATGCTCGGCGGGCTCTGTGCCGATGCAGCCCGATCCGAGCACACTCCGATTCGATCTGATATCATGATTCGATGATGGCTGGTCTTGCCTCCTCCTATATCTGCGACCAACTGCGAGCCCTCCCTTGCGGGTCCACTCGACGATGGGCTATCGGACACCCCCTTTGGGGTTCACTTGGCTGCAGACATCCTTCGAATTCTGGACCCCAGCTGGCGTTTCAGAAATCTGACTTGCAGGGGAAGGGTTCATATGCGGGTGCCTACTCTAGCAACGCTGTTGTCATTTGGAAGGCTATCGCTTCGAAGGGCCACCTGGATAACCATGACATTGGCCTCGGAGTGAAGCTTCTCTCCTCCGTGCTATCGCTGCCCTGAGCGGATCCGCCCGCGCTCCGGCAGCGCGCCGCTCTCCCCCTTTTTGGGGCCAGCCGTACGGCTATTTTGGGCGAGTCCGAATCCGCGTTAGGGGGGACGTTAGGGGGGGACAGGCTCTGGGGGGGATGCATTGCTCCCCAATTGTTTATTTGAAGGATCCCTCGCAGATGTGCAGCGCTACTCGCAGTCGAGTCCACTCATATCCAACCACGCCTATGTTGACACACCCACTTTCAGGCTCACAGATCCATTCACATCCAGGTGCTCGTGCGCAAGCTCAATCATATTCAGCCGCTCGTGTTCAGATTCGGTCACACGCAGGCTCACTTATATATATATATATATATATTATTATATATATATATATATATATATCCCAAAAAGAACACGTTAGGCAGTGATTGTGCGTATAGGTTTGGCCTTTGGGGGGCCCTCGTCGTCGTTCTGAGAGGACAAGGGCCTCTGTCACGGGGCCCACCGGTCTTCAGAGGCCCCGGATAGAGGCCCGTCTCAGAGGGCCAGAAGACCGCCCTCCCCCCCCTGGGGGCGGTCTTGGCGAAGGTGGCAGCGGCGGCTCGCCGCCAGCGTCGCCGCAAGCGTCGCCGCGCTCCGCGGGGAGGCCCGCCAGCGACGGCGACGGCGGCTCGTCCGCGGCGTCGCCGCTGGCGTCGCCGCTGGCGTCGCCCCGCTCCGCGGGGAGGCCCGCCAGCGGCGACGGCAGCCGCACAGGCCGCCGCCGCCCGCGGGCCGCCGCGGCGGAAGCCGCCTCCAGCAGCGGCGGCGGCGGACTGCCCGCCGCGCGGGCGGGGCCGCCGCCCGTTGTGGAGGGCGTGGCGCCGCCGCCGCTCTCCGCGCAGGGCTCGGCGCCGTCGCTGGCGGGCGCGGAGTGCGCGGCGCTGTCGCCAGTGCTGCTTGAGGGCGCACTGTTGGCGGCCGAGGATCGGCTTCCCGTAGGAGTGACCCTTCGCTGGAGTGACCTTCGGTGCGGGCTCACAGGGGTCCCCCCCAGCACTGGCCTGTGCGCTTGGATTTGGCTTACCGCGGCCCCCTCTCAATCCGCGCACCAAAGGTCAGTCTTGCCCAGGGTCGCTCTTGCGTGTAGTCGAGAGGAGGGCGCGCCGCTGTCCCCAGTGGCCGAGGATGGCGCGGCGCTGTCGCCGACGCTCCTGGAGGGCGTGCCCTCGGCGGCCGGGGAGGGTTCGTTGCTTTCGCCGGTGGCCGAGGAGGGTTTGGAGCTGCCCCCAAAGGCCGAGGAGGGCGCGGCGCTGTCGCCAGTGGCCGAGGAGGGTTCGGCGCTGTCGCCGATGCTAATCGAGGGCGCGCCACCAGCGGCCGAGGAGGGCTCGCTGCTCTTGCCACTGGCCAGGGAGGGCGCGGCGCTGTCGCCCCTGGCCGAGGAGGGCGCGGCACTGCCGCCGGTGGCCGAGGAGGGCGCGGCGCTCGGGCCGCTGGCCGAGGTGCGTTCGGAGCTGCCCTCGCTGGCCGACGAGGGCGCGGCGCTGTCGCCAGCGGCTAAGGAGGGCGCGGCGCTGCTGGCGACCGAGGAGGGCGCGGCGACGCTGCTCGAGGGCGCGCCGTCGACGGCCGAGGGGGGTGCGACGGCAAGCGCGCGCCCTAGATCCTCCCGCGCTCCATTAAGGTCACCCGCAGGGGCGCGAAGTCCATCGCGTCTCGCGCTTCGCGGCTCAGAGGGAGGCGAGTTGAGACAACGGCAGTTGGCCTTCGCGGGGCCCCCTCGTCGTCAGGGCTGGACGTAGCTCGGCAAACTGATGCGTTTGGAGCCCTGGGGGGGTGTCTTGGACCGATTTTGACCCACTGTCTCAACTCGCCCTGCTCCGAGTGATGTTGGCTGGAGAGGTGCCCTTTTCCGCTGCCAGGCCGTGTCCCCGTCCAGCGTGCTGGAGCTCTGCCCGAGGGCCTCGGTGCGCGGTGGACGTGGACGCCTGCCACCCCGCGCGGGCGGGGAGGGCATCCGCAACACCCACCTGCGCCCCAGGGGCCCCCGGCAGGGCTCAAGATCCTGCGCACGTGCACGCAGACGTGGTCGTGGACCTGCGCGCTTCCGCGGTCTGGGCCGGAGGGCCGCTCGCCTCCGCCCGCGGGGGCTCGCGGCGCGAGGGCGCGAGGGCGCGAGGGCGCGCGCGCCTCGCGCCGGCGGGCGGCGGCGGGGGCGCGCCCACGGCTGCTCCGCCGCTCGCGCGCCTCGCCCGCCCTCCGGGGCGGGCATGTGTCCACAGACGCCGCCCAGGGGGGCCGAGCTTCGGGGGCTTCGCCGGGCGGTGGCTGTGGGCGTGCTCTTGCCCTGGGCGGGCCAAGCTATATCCGTGTCCACCGCTTGCCGAGCCCCCCGGCGCTCGAGCCCCCCTGGGCGGGGGTTGTGGACGAATCCCCGCCTCGCACTCTTCCACCGGTCTCTCCTTCCGCTCCGCCTTCCTCTGGCGCGAAGATGGTCGCGCAAGGGCGCGTCGCGGTGGGCTGGAGAGGCGCTCTTCTCCAGGGGTCGGCGCGAGAGCGCGAAGATAGTCGGCTTAGCCTCTGTCGTTTCTGGGGCCTCGGGGGCGGGGCCCTCGTCGCCGCGACTGGATTCGCCTCGAGACCGCGCCCCCAACGCGCTCCATGACAGGTCGGGGGGGACTGTTAGCTGGCACCATTCGCCTATATTCTCCCTCTCCCCCGCCCCCTTCCCGACCCCTTCCCCTTTGCCATCCTTCTCCGTTCCCCTCGTCTTCTCAGCAATGGCTGCACGAGCACTTATTAGATATTGATGCCCCCAAGGGGCCTCCAGAGCTCCCCGAGGGCCCCTTGGGGGGCCTCCGAGGGTCTCCGAGGTCCTCCCGAGAGCCCACGAGGTCCTCCAGATGCCTCCGACGGTCTCCGAGGACCTCTGGAGGCCTCTGAGGGTCTCCGAGGTGCTCCGAGGTTTTCCGAGGCGCTCCGATGGCCTCCGAGGGGCTCCTGGGGCCTTGCAAGGGCCTCCGAGGGCCTCGCGGCGGTGCGCCGAGGTGCGAGCGCACGTCGGAGAACCCAGGCGCCGACGGCAGGGCTGCTTCGAAAGCGATGGGTCGTCGTCGCCGTCGTCGCCGTCGTCGTCGCCGCCACCGCTGCCGCCGCCGCCGTCGTCATCGTCATCGCTGGAGGAGGAGGAGGGGGAGGAAGAGGGGGAGGAGCAGGCGGAGGAGGGGGAGGAGGAGGAGGAGGATGGGGAAGATGGTGAGGAAGGAGGAGGAGAGGAGAGGCAGGAGGAGGAGGAGGAGGAAGAGGAGGAGGCGGAGGAGGAGGAGGAGGCGGAGGAGGAGGAGGAAGGTGAAGCAGGTAGGTCGGAAGGTATGCATGTATGTACGGATGTAGGTCATTCCTGATGATGACGACGATGTTACTGATGCTGGTGATGGTGACGATCATGATGATGAAACTGACGGTAGTGATGATGGTGGTGCTCGTGATGATGGTGGTGGTGCCGCTGCTGCTGCTGCGCTGCTGCTCGTGCTGCTGCTGCTGGTGCTACTGCTGCTGTTGCTGCTGCTGCTGATGACGATGATGATAACGATGATGAAACAAACGCGGTAGAAGCAATAATAATGACGATGATGAGGCGGAGGAAGAGGAGGAGGAGGAGAAGGAGGAGGAGGTAGGAGGAGGTGGGAGGAGGTGGGATGAAGACGCAGACGATGAGCAAGAGATGAGGATACCATCGCATAAGTGATGGTGATGATGATGATGCTGATGATGCTGATGTTGATGACGATGTTGACGATTATGCTTATGATGACGATGATGACGATGCTGCTGATGATGCTGATGCTGATGCTGTTGCTGATGATAATGATGACGATGGCGATTGGGATGACGACGATGATGATGACGATGCTGGCGAGGATGAGGATGATGGTGATGAGGAGGATGAGGATGACGATAATGAGGATGATGCTGCTGAGGATGTTGATGATTATGATTCTGATGATCATGCAATTTATGCTGATTCTGATGGTGCTGACGACGATGATGATGATGATGATGATGATGATGATGATGATGATGATGATTATGATGATGATGATGCTGATGAAGATGATGATGGTGATGATGATGGATGATGATGGTGATCATGATGATGATGATGATGCTGCTGCTGATGATGATGATGATGATGATGATCATCGTCATCATGATGCTGCTGCTGATGATGATGCTGCTACTGCTGTTGATGATGAGGATGATGACGACGACGACGATGACGGTGCGGACGACGACGACGACGATGATGATGATGATGATGATGATGATGATGATGATGATGATGATGATGATGCTGATGGTGATCATGATGATGATGCTGATGATGATGATCATCGTCATCATGATGCTGTTGCTGATGATGATGCTGCTACTGCTGCTGATGATGCGGATGATGACGACGACGACGATGACGGTTCGGACGACGACGATGATGATGATGCTGAGGATGATGGTCATGATGGTGATACTGATGATGATGCTGATGATGATGTTGATGCTGATGCTGATGATGATGACGATGTTGATGATGCTGCTACTGCTGCTGATGATGACGACGACGATGACGATGTCGATGACGATGACGATGCGGACGACGATAGTGATGATGATTCTGATTATGATGATGATGATGCTGATGATGTTGACGATGACGATGACGATGATGATGATGATATTGATGATGACGCTGATGCTGATGCTGATGCTGATGCTCATGATGATGATGATGATGATGATGATGATGATGATGATGATGATGATGATGATGATGATGATGATGATGATAATGATGATGCTGACGATGATGATGACGACGATGACGATGACGATGAGGATGATGATGATGCTGATGAGGATGCTGCTGCTGATGCTGATAGTGATGCTGATGCTGATGATATGATGATGCTAATGCCGTCGCTGATGCTGATGGTGATGGTGATGCTGATGCTGATGATGATGGATGGCTGACTGGCTGGATGGATGGATGGACGGACGGACCGACGGACGGACGGACGGACGGACGGTCGGACTGAGAGAGGGAGGGAGGGAGGGAGGGAGGGTGGGCGGGCGGGAGGGAGGGAGGGAAGGAGGAGGACGATTATGATGATGATGATGGTGATGATGATGCTGATGCTGATGCTGATGCTAATGCTGATTCTGCTGATGATGATGACGATGTTGATTGTGATGGTGATTATGATGATGCTGATGATGGTACTGAGGATGATGACGATGATGATGATGATTATGCTGATGATGATGGTGATGATGACGATGCTGATGATGATGATGATGATGCTGATGGTAATGATGATGACGATGATGACGATGATGATGATAATGGTGACGATGATTCTGATGGTAATGACGATGATGATGATGATGCTGCTGATGATGATGGTGATGGTGATGATGATGATGCTGATGATGATGCTGATGATGACGATGATGATGATGATGATGATGATGATGATGATGATGCTGATGGCTGCTGCTGCGGCTACTAGGGAGGAGGAGGAGCAGGAGGGGGAGGAGGAGGATAGGAGGATCCCTGTGCAGGGGACCAATGGTCTGCATCTTGAAGGCTTGAAGGAGGAGGAGGGGGAGGAGGAGGACCAGAGAAAACCGAAGAGTCATCAACGATGTTGGAATTAACCTTCCCTCCAAGCTCCCTCTTCATAGGCTCCTACAACGGTTTATTTCCATTGGGGGAACTGCCTCGTTGGAAGACAACCGTTTGAACGTCCTGCAGCGTGCCAACACATTGTTCTCGAGATGTCAACGCCACGTATCAACCTGACTGCTGCGTATTGACGATCCAGAATCGTGCCAGAGCGCCATCTAAGGGACTTCAACACCGCGAACCAACATAACTATTGCACCCGCATAATCCTGAATCTCTCTAACAATTTATTTCTGGTACGTTGATCATGGGAACCCGTGAATCTCTTGCAAATTTTGAAAACGAATGTGCGCGGCAACAAGGCGAGAGCCACATTTTGAAAAGGAGCCGTCCTCAATCCGTGAAGCTCCTGCAAATTTTAAAACGAATGTGCGCGGCGCTTTGGCGAGAGCCACATTTTGAAAAGGAGTCGCCCTCAATCCGTGAAGCTCTTGCAATTTTCTAAAACGAATGTGCGCGGCGCTAAGGCGAGAGCCACATTTTGAAAAAGTGCCGCCCTCAATCCGTGAAGCTCTTGCAAATATTTAAGATGAATGTACGCGGCGCTGGGGCGAGAGCCACAGTTTGAAAACCACCCGCCCTCAATCCGCGAAACTCTTGCAAAATTAAAAACACGAATGCGCGCGGCGCTAAGGCGAGAGCCACATTTTGACAACGACCCGCCCTCCATCTGTGAAACGGTTGTCACCTTTTAAGCTTCAGAGTCATAAGTGGTGAGGAAGTCTCAAACGAAACACCCAGCTCGCCGTAAAAACTGGCCTAGGGATGCGACAGGGAGAAGTTATCTGTAAGGACCAGGAGGATGATGATGATGATGATGATGATGATGATGAGGAGGAGGAGGAGGAGGAGGAGGAGGAGGAGGAGGAGGAGGGAGGATGGGGGAGAAGAGCGAAGTGAGAGGAGGCAGAAGGTAGGAGCAGCGGTGGAGCAGCGCGAGCTCACGGCTCTGCCTCTGGGCCAGTCGCAAAGGAGCTCTTTTGCTTTTTTCCTCGTCTTGCTGCCGCCGCCGCCGCCCCTGCCGCTCCTGCCCCAGACCCCTTCGGGCAATGAAAAACTGACCGTTGGATGTTCTCCGCAATTTTCCGTTTCTAGGGGCCCTCGCAGGGTCCCAGGACCGTCAAACAATTGCCCAGCATGAAGAACAGGTCCCTGGGATGGGGTCCAGATATCTCGGGGTCCATGTTATGAAAAAAAGCCATGACGTCGGGGGTTTGGGTCTGCTCCTCCGTCCCGTCCTGCTCCTGAACGAGCAATCCTTCCGGCGTCCCTCCTTCGACGAGCAGAGAGGGAAGGAGCGATCCTCCGCTTAGCGGCCCTGACACGCACGTGTTGAAACGGAACACGTGCCGTATTCAACACGTCTCCCTCACGCACGTGTTGACCCACGCTTTGGCGAGCGTATCGCACAAGACCTCCGGTTTCAGTCTGCGTGTTGAGCTCCGCGCCATCATCCTAAGATCCGACGTTACGAACAAATTGTAACACCGCCAAAAATCACGATCGTAGTCTTAGTTCCCATCTTTCTGCGCAATCTTTCGAGCCCGACCCGAAAGCGAGCGAACACGCCCGTTGTGAAAAAGTTGCAACGCCAAAGCCTCAGGGCACACCACGGGTTGCGTGTTGCGCATCGGGGCAGCTAAGATCCCCCGACCTGCGTTCTTGCCTTGCCCGTCTTGGGGCACCCTGGAGGCCACCGTGGGCCATCTTGGCTGTCTTGGAGGCGCTTTGACCCACGAGGGGGGGATTCTGCCGAGCTCTCCTGGTGGCGCGCGGGTTGAGCCGCAGCCCGACCCGCGGGCAACCTGGAAAACTCCAATCCTCTTCCTTATGGATAAAGGGTTGTCCGGGCCAGCTTTTAGGGTGGTCCGGGCGTTTCGCCTGAGACTTCTTCACCATTTATGATTCTGAAGCTTAGCATGGCAACGCATTCACACATGGAGGGCGGGTCGCTTTCAAAATGTGGCTCTCGCCTTAGCGCCGCGCACACTCGTTTCAAACAATTTGCAACAGTTTCACAGATGGAGGGCGGGTCGCTTTCAAAATGTGGCTCTCGCCTTAGCGCCGCGCACATTCGTTTCAAACAGTTTGCAACAGTTTCACAGATGGAGGGCGGATCGCTTTCAAAATGTGGCTCTCGTCTCAGCGCCGCGCACATTCGTTTCAACCATTTGCAAGAGTCTCACAGATGGAGGGCGGAGCGCTTTCAAAATGTGGCTCTCGCCTCAGCGCCGCGCGCATTCGTTTCAAACAGTTGCAACAGTTTCACAGATGGAGGGCGGGTCGCTTTCAAAATGTGGTTCTCGCCTCAGCGCCGCGCACATTTGTTT